CAGCACTTCCTCACAGCAGGGAATGAAACAAACCCACTAAAATAAGCTTTTAAGAAGTTAAATTGGGATACTTTTTCACAGAACAAGGAAAAAAAAAAGAATAGACTTCCAGTATAAAAGATTCCCCAGCAGAAAAACAGCACAAGAGTGCTTGGGCATAAAAAGAAGAAAACAAGTAATTGACTAAAAAAATGGCTGCTTTAAAGGCATTAAGTCATAAAGACACAAATGCAAAGTTTCTGTTGCATTTGCTCAAGTCTCTCTTTGTAGAAAGTGCTGTTACAATGGGTGCTCTCACAGAACAGGGAAATTTACGGTGGCATCTCTAAGTACAGAAGGACACAAGGATAAGCTTATACCAGCATTTGCAACACAATGTTTTACTGAGGAGCAGAACTGTTATTTAACATATTTTTTAGTTTCTCATCTGAGAAAGAGATTCATTTGACACTACCACACCAACAGGGTGAAAAACAAAACGCACCTTTCTCTGCTAGAGACACTGATCTACCAAAACCAGCTTTTTAAAACAGATGAGAGCTACAGTGAAGGTGAGAAACTTGAGAAGATGTTCAAGAAGGACACTACAGTCTTTCCATTAATGGGGTCCCATGGAGTCCCTGCACTTTCACATTCCACAGTATGGCTGGAAAATGTGGCAAAGCCAGACTCTCCCTGTGGTGGTGTTCACAGGGGTCCCAGGAAGAGGGAATAGATGAGGATCTGACTCCATGTTTCAGAAGGCATGATTTACTATTTTATGTAATATATAATATTAAAACTATACTAAAAGAATAGAAGAAAGGATTTCATCAAAAGGCTAGCAAGGAAACAAAAGGAATTGGAATGATAATAAAATCTTGCGACTGACCACACAGTCTGAGACAGCTGGACTGTGATTGACCATTAATTAGGAACAACCACACAAGACCAATCACAAATCCACCTGCTGCATTCCACAGCAACAACTAATTACTGTTTACATTTTGTTCCTGAGGCCTCTCAGCTTCTCAGGAGAAAAAATGCTAAGGAAAGGATTTTTCATAAAATGTGTCTGTGACACTCTCCCTTCAATCCCATCAGGCCTGCACCAACCCCATGAAACAGCAGCACAGCAGTACCACAACAAAGAGTTTGGCCAAATGTCTTGTGAAACACAGTTTGTGATGTGGGGATATCTAGACCCAAGCAGCTTGGAACTCAGGTTCCAAGGAGCTGTGAAGGAAACCTCAGCCTGAGGCACCTGTTTGTTTATCCCAGGGAGAATCTGCTGTGCAAAGTGCTTGAAGCTCAGTCAGACACCAGATATTGAGGTGGGTTTTGCTCACAGACACTGCAAGCCTAAGGAAGTCTGTGAAAAACATTGCCAGCTTTGTGTGCATTACCAAAGCCAGGCTGAAAAGTGCAGCACAAATCACTGGGATGTCTTCAGCCATTTTCTTGCTGTCATGGCACAAAAACATAGTGACATATGGGTGGCAGCAATTTAGAACCTTGTCTGTACCTCATCCAAAACAGAAAGGTTACCCTAAGCCACAGTTACATTTCACAGAAGACATCCTGCCTACTTACACTGAGAAAAAAGGAAAGCAAATTTAAAATTCAAAGTTTTCAGGAAGCTCACTGCAATACAGAATCCATCTTGAGCAAATCTTGCTCTGTCACAGCCAATTGTGGTCAACAAAAAAGCAAGCAGAAATTTAAGTGGCTAATCTTTTTCTTTCTCTTTAGATTAACTGGAATTGCATTTTCCTGAAAAGATGCAGATTTCATGCTCTGACCCTTGAGTTTGAAAAGCAAGAGCTGACAGTCCAATTGAAAACTCAGGCTGGTGGCAGAACTATGTCCATTCTATTCTTCCTGCAAGAAAGTGGACAAAAAACTCTGGCATGTATGTGTATGGTGTACAGGGAGAGAAAAAAGTGAAGGGAAACAGCTCAAGTTTAATATTTTCTGCTTCACATTCATATATTCATAGCATAAGACAGAATTTCTAAGTGTCTACCCAACAGATTTATATTTTAGTACCACACCCAAATTTAAACCTGAGATCCAAACAACTGAAAATAAGTCAGGCATTTGTAGTGCAAGCTAAATTGCCTCACAGAGAAAGTTCTAAAATATGTACAACTTTATGAAGCCTGTCAGGTACCAACCAATGGGAAAAAAATTTATGCATAGCAAGACATATGCATGTTACATAAGCAGGGAGTGCAATCAGAATGTTAGGGGTGGGAAAGAAGTAAAGCACCCAATTTCTGTGAAAAATCAGTGACATCTTAACAGAGTTTAGCAACCAAATCAGTTCCATGATCTTCATGCCTTCCCTTCCAAAGCAGCTATCTAAAAATGAAAGTCATGCTGAGGTGAAATGCATTTCTCCACACTCTTAGGTAGGGAAAATGTTACTCCTGAATCACCACAGTGTATTCCAGAATGCACACAATAAGTGACCATGGATTTGCACAGTTCTGAGGTTCTGTTGGACAAGAATTATATCCCAGAGGTGCTGGCATTATGGCATAAAGCTATTCTATTTATAGTAATTTGTAGCATGAGTACACTAGAAAGCGTCTTCAGTCATTTCATTAAGCTGCATCATTTGCTAACAAGTTCAGGGTAATGACTGAGGGAAATGAAGGAAACTTCTGAAGGCTGTCCTGAAATTATTACTAGATTTAGTGTTGCCTTTCATTCAGTGAGACTCTCTGGTAATTGTAGCTTTTAACTGTATTATTGCACAGTCAGAACCAGCCAGCAAGTGCTTAAGATGATTTCAAAGGAAAAAGCCACACTTTGAAAACAGAGCTCCAATTTAAAGACAAATATCACTGGCCAGCAGACTTTGGATGGTAAGGCTGCCTAGTTAAAGAAGTTTCCACAGGTCACCCTCCCAGTTAGTTCTAATAGTTTAAGTCAAGAACATGACATTTAAAATAGGAGGTATACTGATATTCTTTAATTTATGTCAAATCTTTAACGTGTTTTACATTAAAATGCTGCCACAAAGTGACTTGGCTCAGTGCCCAAGGTAACATTCCTTGCACTGCTGTCTTGACTCACTGCCAAGAGGAGGCAAAGGAGGCATTTCCCTCAGACAACTCTGCTAATGAAAACTGTCAAAGTCCTTTCAGCACCCCTGATTTTGTTGGGCTTGTCATCTCAATTGTGCGGCTCACTAGACTTCTGTTCTCAACAATGTATTTCTTAGCAATATGCTCATGCCTCAACAAGAACACTGAAATTTTCCCATTTCATTGAAAGGAGCACTCTGAATACAAGAAATCTCACCTTGGGTTTCAACAAAAAAAATTATTTAAAAATGACAACCAAAAATCCCCAAACCAAAACTCCCCACATTCACCACTGAGGCAATAATGAAAATCTGTTCTTCCTCCCAATTTGTAAGAACTATCAGCTCCCTCCCACCCAGCAAAGTTCAGGCTGGAAAGGCTGTGGCAAAGGACCTCGAGCTCTTGTAATCCTCTCTGCCCTGCTGCACAGCTGTGTGGCTGAAAATGCCTCACTTCAGGTGGGAACATTTCCTGAGAGCCCCACCATGTGAATATTATATAAGTTGTTTGAATAAGAGCTGTTATCTACAGCTTTTCCACAACAGGGAAGCATTTGGCCTTAGCCTGATGGCAAATATTTCTGAATCAGCTGAAAGAAATATCAGATGACATCTGTAGCCTCTGCTTCCCTGGAGGAATGAGATATGGTACAATTCAGGTGCACTGTGAGGAAGTCATCACTTCTCCTGACATCTGGATAAAAAGACAACTCTGTTTACCAGAGCAACTGAGTGCACCACTCACACAAAGAGAGTTTGTCAGACTGTCTCGAGGAGAAAAAGCATTGCTGTGCTCATATTCAATCAAACTGGAGGCTTGAAAGCCACAGGAGGATGGTGGCTGGGGGCTGAGCATCTGTCTCACACATAGTCTGAACACCATGGAAAAAAAGGAAAAAAAAAAACCAAAACGACAGGGGGAGAGGAAGAAAAGTGGAACAGAAAAACAGAAACATCCTTTTGACTTGAAAACTCTATCAGAAACAGAGGCTGCTACAATCATCTCCTCCCAGCCCATCCTGTCATGATCACACACTCCCATTGTGCCTTTTTCCACATCTGCAGACAGACTCAAACACAGCCATTCCTTGCCACCCTTTGGTAGCCAAGCCTTGCAAACCTCACAGCTGCTCACAATGCGCACTAACAAGAGGGGCGAGAATAAATCCAAGACACATCCACAGGGCCTTCCCTCAACTCACCACAGTTTCTTGTCAATTCTCTGCCTGGCAATTCCTGACAGGGACCCTGGAAATACCAGCTATGAGGTATTATTTTTAAATGGAAAACATCTGGGATTTTTTCAACAAGCCAACTGGTTTTGGAGCTACCTACCATACAAGACAGGCCACAGCTGCTGACAAGAGTTTAAAAATATTTGGAAGAGAAAACTTGAAAAAACAAAGTAAAACTCCCAGAACATATTCAGACCATTATTGGATAAGATTCTGGTTTATATTTAATATAAGATACCCCAGCAAATAGTAGAAATTAAGCAGAGTGATGAATAAAATTCCCTTCCTGTCATCCTGCAGAATTTCACTGAACTGAATTGAGAACATTTCATATGCTTAAACCATTGAAAGAGACCAAGAATGATTTGGGATAAGTTAGGAAACAAAAATTTGATTTTTTTTTTCAATCCCATAAAAATCAATACAGAGCCAGAATAGATGACATTAAGAAGTCCCACAAATTTTAGAAAGGGGCTGCATAACAAGATCATATCAAGTTAAATGACACAAACTGCCCAGTGAGGTGTAAATTGCTCTTCAACATTTACCACCCACAGTGGTAACTCCTTTCTTGATGAAAATAAAGTCAGCATTGCAAGAAATCTTATTTTGCCACAAGTGACTGAAGGAAAGCAAGATGATATAAGCAATCATTTGCATATTACAGTGCTGCTCCACCTCAACCTACTCACCACATTTCATCACTTCCCTTCCAAATCCACAGCCTAGAAAAGCAAAAAGAAATAGCATCACTATTTCTGTTCTTACATTAGTGAAAAAAACCATGAAAAGCGTAAAAAAATCAAAATATGGATCAGCTTTCAATTACATTTCCTAGGGTGTCAGGGTGCACTCACTTTTCCTATTAATTGATGCTTTTCTGTTCCTCTCCTCAGTTACATCCTAACGCTTTGTTGGATGCAATTTACCAATCTAAAAAGTGGAATTTGCACAGCTACAAGTCTTGGATGCCACAGAGAGGTCAGAAGAAAGTAAAAGCTCTCCAAGCAGCCCAGAGCTGAACAAGAAAAGGAATTTTTGAGTGGTCCATTTACTTATTTTGTGATCTTTTCAAAATCAAAAGGAAGCTGTGAGAATCAAAGGCTCCAATTTCCTCTCCCCGCTTTTCATTTTATGTATTCCTTTACTTGTCACCCTCTGTCTGAAGAGGAAGACAACCTCCCACCATAAAAAAAAACCAAAAAAACAACCAAAAACATTTGCTCAAACTTTTAAGCCTTTTTATATCAAGATCTTACCAAAACTACCTTTGCTGTATTCTGACGGCAAGATATTTGAAAATTAAGAGAAGAGAGTACTGCTCTTATTACCAGGTTGTTTATCAACATTCAGCCCTTATCTAGTCCAATCCTACATAACCAGTAGAAATTAACAGTATTTTAAAATGCCATTTAAACTATTTGTAATAACATATAAATACAAATTATTGTAATAAAAAATTTGTAATACACACATTTATTGTCCCAAATATCAGCATATTGTTTTCTAGATATCACGTATACAAAGAGATCCCTTGGAATCTTTCTGGAATTATTATAATTATTCTCAAATAATAAGGCCAAGTAACATCTCCCTTCACCCCTTATGCTCTCAGCACCACTTAGAGAGGCTATGACCCCTTGGCTCACTTTTAGAAGGATATTATTTTCAATTCTATGAGATAAACACTGAAGTTGCACTTCAGAACACCACAGAAAAACCTCAATCCATGGTTTTTGAATACTTACCAGGCCACACAAAAATTCATCTTTCTTCTTATACTCTCACATTCACTCTTAACTTCCTCCTTTAATGTTTTTTGATAATTCTTCATTTAAAACAACTGCTTATAGACACCTTCATGCTCAAGCTCAGAGTTCTTTCTGCAGCTTGCTGGAAGGCAAGCTCAGATTCATCACAAAGATCAAATACACCTGAGAATATATAAAACTTCAGACAGCCATCACCTGGCTTGGGTTTTTTCCAATTTGTTTTGCCAGTATAAGTCCATGAGTCAGCAATCTCAGTTAATTACCTTGTTCCAGCAGTTATCCTGATTGTCCCACATCCACCTCAGGCTGAAATGTCTGTGGAGAAGGAGCAGTGAAGAGTTGACTGTGATCTGCAATGGCAGAAAACTTTGAATGAAGGGAGTGAATTCCTGTTGCAAACAATTTTTCCCTTTCTAATGCTTCCTACTGCCCAGTGATATCCAGTTTTGTTGTCTTTTCTAGAAAGATTTTATTGGAAGATCCATCTTGGTGAGGGAGTTTATTGCTATAAAGCTGGGGAGATCAGCCCTCCATTACACACAATTGAAAAGAGTAAGTTTATAAGAGCAGTTCCCATTTCTATGTTTTCTTCAATTTTTAACAAATAGAAACATTTATAGAAAAATGCAGAATTTGGACTGTTACATATCTAAATTTCCAATTGCAGAAAGACAAGGAGTCCACTCCCATTTTTTTTTCCCTAGGAATAAAGAAATGTTCATATTAGCCATAAGAAAATTTAGATGCTTTTTCTAGTAATCAACTAGCTCATATAAGTAATAAGTAACTTGATTAAGGGTAATAAGGAACCTTTAATTTTATATCTGAAAATTGAGGAAATACAAGAAATATTTGAGGTAAGTTCATCTGAATGTCTCAAGCCTCAAAAGATTTTGTGAATCTGACACCTGGGCACTAAAGTGATTTTTTAAAAAACAAGGCTAGGTTAATGAAAAAAACCACAAAACTAAAAATCTCTCTCTTATTCCTTTTAAAGGTATTATTGTCTTTGAATTGCATCATTTTATGTACCATTATCTCAAAAAACAGTAAATAACTTCCAGAAACCTTTTTATGCATGCATTTTTTTTTGATTCCTAATTGCCACTTTAAACTTATGCATCAATTTGTGCTTGAACATCCCTGCAAAAGAATAGGATACAGTACCCACTTTCCAAGACTGCTGCAGCAAATAGAGGAAGCTGATCTATTACATCTAATGATTTGTCAAGTGGGAGCAGAGTTAGTTGGGGAAAAAAGGAAGCTTTTATTCTGCTCTTAATGTAAGATAGAACTGCTACCAGAATAGGCATGAGATCCTTTTCCTTTGATACTTCAGTAGCAGTTAATTATCAAAACTTTAGAAATGCAAGCTGAATTGTTTAGGATAATTCCCTTTTGAGGGGTTTTGAGTGACTCCAGGAAACTTGCATTGTGGCTTGGATTGTGTAACTGCTTTTGTTGGTGTGTCTTCAGAAAGGAATAGGAAGAGCTTCTAATAATGAATAGCAATTTGAAGCAAAAAGAACACTTTTGCTTTCATGAGTGTCACTGAAACACCATACTGAAGAGCATGTAAAAAAGGACCATTTAATAATTAGTGTAAATCATAAAAATGATGTCCTATTTCTTATATAACCCATTTTTTGCTGTATGATGGTTGATGAATACAACCTCCTTAACTTGCCTTTTCTAAGTCTATGTTCAAAACTGCCAAGTGCTTAACAAAGGGGAGAGCAAAAGCAGTTTTGGTCTCCACAAGCCTTCCCCAAATTAACGTGTATGTAACTCCTATTGATTTCTAAAGGCAACATGAAGCTGGGCTGAGGGCTTGAGCTGTTCCACAGATGATTCTGTCCTCTCTCTGAGCCCCAGGCCAGCTGCAAACTCTGTGGCTCCTGTCTGCCACTCGTGGGGACTTGGGAGCTGAATGAGGAAGCAGCAAAGTGCCTCTGAGCAGAGCTGAGCTCTGGAGGGGAAAGGGTGGGAGCAGCTTCATCTCATGGCACCAGCAGGGTCTCTGCTGGTTTGCTTTACCTGACTGCATCTCCTGGCCTGCTGGCAGTGAAGGTGACACTCAAGGACACGACTTCGTGGTGGGCATGGCTGTGCTGGGTTAATGCTTGGATTTAGTGACCTTAAAATACTTCTCCAACCTAAATTATTCTATGATTCTGTGAAGTCGTTCTTGCTTATGAAGCAAATTGGGCTGGAGTTATGATAAAATACGTAAATGCTCTGAATGCTGGAAATCTAAAATTCTACCTTGTCGCTGAAGGACACGAGAGAACACAAGCACACCACCACTCAAGGTGAAGGGAAAAAAGGGAAGTTTTATTCTCTGACTCCAATATTTATAGCTTTACAAACGTGACAGTGGATTGGAAGGTGACACTGACACCTCTGCAATGTCTCTGGTCAAACCAACAGTCCATCAACTCTCTCCTCCTCCATAAAGGAATGTAAAACAATGAGTTATTTACAGAAAGTGTGTGAGAAAATTCACTCCAGGAATGTCAACATCAGAAGGCTTAGAAAATCTTAAAAAACCAGGGTGACATCACCTCTGTGGTTTTTTGCAGCAGTGAAAAGAAGCTCAGTTTCCTGTACTACAAAAGAGGTTTTGCTGCTCTTACTCACCTGAGTAAGAGTGGTGAGCACACCATGAAGTTCACATCCTAGACACTGAAGTACCACTGAATGAGTAAAGGAAAAAAAAAATTAGATGCTTCTTCTAGGAATCAACTAGCTCATGGATAATAAGTAACTTGATCATGAGTAATAAGCAACTATAAAAAGAAAAAGGTGATCCTTGGCTATGGAGTATTTTGGTCTGTTGGAACAATGAAGTTTTTAATACATTGAACTTCAACTGTTTAGAGGTCAGATGAAGACAGTGCTTCGTTCACAGAAATTAAAGCTGCATATGAAAACCAATGTGATCTGTTTGTAGATTCCTTCTGAGTGTGGTTTTTGCAAAAATTCTCAATCTCTGTTTCAGACAGAGACCTTATTTCAAGAAGGCTGGCAATGGGTAAGCACTCAGGAGCAAGCAGCTGCAGGTAATGCATTCCTCCTTGCTGAAGGCACCTTCCCAGTGCCTCTTCAGTTATAGATATCAATTGTACCAACTCTTTGGGAACAGTTATATTTTAGTTTTCAAACCAAGATCACATGAACTATAACACACACACAAAAATCCAGTATTTGTTTCACCTACTATTTAAAAAGTGGCAGAGATTTTCCACAGAATGTGCCTGAGTGGAATGATGCTTGTTAATGGCATGGCTGCCTTGCCAGGCTGTTCAGCTAAAAATCAGGGTATGAGATAAGCCTCTGATGTATGTTTAGACTCAGTTCCAGCTCAACCTATACTGAATGTATATGCATCATTTCTTGAGAGAAAATATTTCATGTTTTGAGAGCTCCAGGCTGATACTGCAAGAGCACAAGCCGGCTCTTCTTCCACATTTGTCTTTCAACGCATCACCCAAAAAACCAAACCAAAACCAAACAAGCTGAATAGATCAAGCAGCAGTTTTGTGGGGAAAAAAAGGCTCAAATCCAGGCTGTCAGCCCTAGATCAAAATTTTCCATACATTTCTTGAAGGACTTTCCAGAATGTCATGAAAATAGAGCAGTCCCAGGAAGGTGCCATTTGCTGCTCCAGAGCATTCTCCTTCTATTTGCAAAGAAATATCACAGGAACAGCCTGTTCTCATAGTGGGATGGGAACTAACCCTCTCCATAACATTTTCAGTGCCAAGCAGCAAGCCCCCATCTGTCTGCCAGCAGGAGAGAGAGAAAACAAATGAAAAATGGAAAGGAGAAGCAACCAGAATTTGGGCATAGGAGAGAAACATCTGCTAAAGGGACAGGAAAAAAAAAAGAGGTTCTGAGAGAATCAGACGAAGAAACATAAAGCAGGTAAAAGAACATAACCATGTTCCCAAAAATGAACAAGAGAGGGAGGAAAAAAACAGGTGGTGGCCATAAAAATAAAGGACATTTTTAGAAAGAAAGGAAGAGAAACAAAGCCAGATGCACTGTAGGTGTTTACCTGTGTTAATAACCAAAGATTTGATGAACAGAATGACTGAAAAGAGTGGTTTCTGATTGCTGCAATATATGGGCTTAATCATTGGGTTTGGTCTTAGTTTTTTAGTTTTTGAAATCCATGTCATTAAAATAAAAAAAAAAAAAATCAAGATCATTCTGTGAAAGTTATTTTTTCATATTTACACAGGAATTGTGAGGAGGGGGGGAAAAAAATCAGCCACTTACCTTAAAACTTCCTGAGTTTTTGATTGTTCCAGTACAAACAGAGGAGCATTCTTGTGTGCCTGGATGAAAAATGTGGGTAAAATTTATTAAAAAAATATATTTTAAAAACATGACAAGAATAAAATGGAATTAAGTACAAAATCCAACACCTTCCCAGAGATACACACAAGTGGCTGCCACACATGGAATGATCCAGCAAGATGATTCAGTAATAAAATTGCTGGGATTGACTGTTAGTCCTGAACACTTCAGATTTAGAAATTGGGCTTCTCAGAATTACCTTTAAAGTACTCATAAAATGAAAAATGTAAACGACATCTGATTTTTTTTGTTTTGTTTTGAGAGAGTTACACTTTGAGCACCTAGATATCACTCTTTGGAGCATTTTCTCTAATTTTTAATATTTTTTTTTAAAGTGTAACCAACGCAAGGCTTTGTTTCTGTATCTAAATTTTAGTTTCACTAAACCCAGAACAAGACAGCGCAGTAATTGATTGTTATTTCATTCATGCTGCCATGACAGTGATTAAACAAACGCTTTCCTAAGGCATTGCAAAGGAAAGCATCACTCAGCTGATGCAGTTTTCCATCGCTGACACCCAAACGCAACAGGTAACAACCATGAATTTAGATTATCCTGCAGCATATTCCTGTAATACTTTTTATTCTGTATATGTAATTTTCTGACTCTGTCAGCATTCGTGGGAAATGCTTATCTTAGCTACTACAACATTGTTGTTTTGTTTTTATATTTTACCAGAATTCTAAACTCTTCATAAAACTGAGGTGCAGTGACAGCTCCCAGCACTTTTTAGCATTTGATCACAGCTGCTCATTATAATATTAAAAGTGCTCCCAATTTGTGGCCAGTCTTGAACAAGCAGAAATGTATCAAGTGTTTAGAAAAGGAGAAGGAAAAAAAAACAGACAGATTTTCTTCTAAACTTTGATCTTTCCTGTTCTGTTGTCTCATGCAAATTATTTTACCTCTTAGTGATGCTTTCCTGGTGGTGTATCAGAGATAACTCACAGAAGAAAATTTACCTGCCTCAAAATACAGCAGGAGCACTTCTAAAAAGATTTCTAGACATGTATAGCCTTTGATGTTTATTAGTCTCACTGCATACTTAAAATTCAAATCAAGGCATCAGAAAGCCCTTGAGACAAATGCATAATTCATATTTTCTATTTACTATACTTGTTCTACGCATTATATCAGCTTTTATTGATTTCTGTTCATGGAATATTCACAAAATAATAAAATTCTCAATATTATTAGTGTGTTCAGAGCTGACTTCAAAACAGATGACACTAATGCCATTATTTATTTATCTTAACTAGTGCTATAGAGGACATTTCTAGATTAGTAAATCACCAGGGGTGTGGGACTTTCTGAAACACACATCAGCATATTTGTGCAATTCTTTTAAGGATGTCTTTCCTACTCACTGAAAGCAAAGCTAAACATTTTTTCTTACTGTACAACTACATCAAATATCAATAAAAGATGAATATTTCCCATTCATTACTGATTGAAGAAATTATTTTCATGCTTGCTGTCTAGGAACCTCTTTTTATTTTAGATTTGTCTGTTTTCCTCACCTGTCACTATCTCAGTTTTGTGGCACTTTCCTGGAGATGTTCTACAGCTGATGACAAAAATATTTCACAATGAAGTGCTGTCAGCATGACTGAATCGGGTACTCTGAGATCAGCTGCACCTCAGAGATGGCGCACTTTGTGTAGGGCCTGCTGTAGGAAAATCCAATTGCAGATGGCTTGAAAGGTTGTAAAAAAGGGGCCTAAAAAGGCAGGTTAAAATTTCACACAGTGATCTGAAAGTCTTCTCTAGAAAAAAAAATATTAAATCCATGTATAAAACCTGGAATAAAAAATGCCTTCAACCTTTACATAGAGAACACCATCAAAATCTGTTCTGTGTTCAAATACAGCTTTACAGAGCCCAGCTTAAAAGTACTGGTTTATTATTATTATCCATGATATAGATTTATACACTATAATAACAAAATTTTACTCATTATGAAGCAACATTTAATTAATCAGAGGGATAGAAGACTTAATACTAAGATGCCACTTTACAAGGGCTGATGAAACTAGAATTGTTGTAAACCAAAATCTTCCTGCTTTTCCATTTGAAAAAAACCTGAGAAGCAGTTTTCAGACAAAATCTGAAATCTCAATTTCTGAAATATACCTGGAATATAAAAAGGATCAGAGTTTGAATTTCTTATGCACCATTCTGTAGTGAGAAGTAGCTCTGGCCTTGATTTTTGGAGTATTACAATGCTTTTTCTCATTCACATGAGATGAAAACAAAGATACACAAGCTGAAGGACAAGGACTTGCAGCTGCATCCTGTAAAATTAAAAGAAAAAAAAATCAAAATAAGATCAAAATAATGCAAGACTGCACTGCTTATCAACCATGCTAAGACTAATAAATATTGTGTAAATTATCTTTAAAACAGCATTTGCTGAGGGAACATTAGTCCAGGGGAACAGTTACTCCTTTGACATTATCTGTTGGATTATAAGATCATTACTGTTGACCACTCCCCTATTTTTGGTTTATAGAGCATCCAAAAATTGAAGAAAGCTCTGAAATGTATTGTTTTCCTACTACAAAAACAACAAAAATTTGGGATTTTTTTTCCATGTAAATGTGTCTATATATGGAGGGAGGGAGGTGGAGGGAAACAGACCCTGTCTTTTCAATATTTTGAACTGCAGGGAATATATTTTTGCAATGAGTTAGCCCACTAGAATGTAGAAAATGAAACAAAAAGAAGATTATAGAACCTATTTTTCTGTGGTGTAACTTCCTAAAAGATAACAGGCCTATTGGAGACAGGGTTTAAACTTAGTTCAGTCACAACTTCTGGAATGAGGATAAAATGGAAGAGAAAGTGTGGTAAGATTTTCATACGATTTCAGCAATCCACAAAAACAGAGTTTTCTGTCACATCACTTCTCACAAATGGGCACTGCAAGACCTTCCTTGCAGTGATATCTCAGATACAACAGAGACAATAAAAATGCAGCAAACTGCAGTGCATAATTCCACAGGTCTTTCGGTAGCTCTGCCAGGGAGTCTCAGCATTCAGCACACTCTGAAAGAAAATTTTTGTGAGCATCTAAGGGAAAAAACCTCTTTGAACTGCATTTTTGTACATCACTTTGACCTCATAATCTGGTTTATAGCTACCAGTTCTTTAAAGATGAGACCATGTGTCAGAGTAATTGGCAATTTTAGCATTTCACGTTCAGAGGGACAAATGCACAGTGACGAGTGGGGACACTTCTAAAAGAACTTTTAGAGGCTCTCAAATTCTAAAAGAACATTTTTTACTATACACACCAAAAAGTGGACTTGTTTTTGTAACTGCACTCATTCAAATACAGCCTGGAAATGTTTGCAGAGCTTGTGCTGCCTCAGAGGGTACTGAGGGGAGGCATGAGGATGTTCCTTGCCTCATAACCTCCCCTCATTACTCATGGTTTACTTCTAGGCTTAGTTACCAGCTGCAAGCCATCCTCATCAATTCTTCTGCAAGCAACTGCAGGATTTAAGAAGAATTTAGTTTTCTAAAATTGCCAATTTTTAAAGGGCATTTTCAATGGACATGGCTAAAATGGCAGTGTCTGTATTGACAAATTCAGTCAGAAAAAGAGAGAAAAGCCTCATCTTAAATCTTATTTATCACAGTCAAGCTGCCAAGTATGGCTGTGCAAAATCTGTCAGTTTTTCAAGTGCTACTTACTGCATATTCAAAACCTCTTCAAAGACTATTTCCTTAGTTACATCACATGCAGCCACCCACACCTCCCCACGTCCTGCCCACATCTCCAAACAATTCAGGGAGCAGGGTGACAGAGCAGCATTAACCTATCACATCTGAAGGGTTATGAAGGGTTTTACTTTGATTGGGAGTCTTTTTAAACACAAAAATAGAACCAAAACTCCCTTGTCTATTTCAATATTAGGTTTCCTAATACCTAAATTCTCTTTTGGAGACTATTTCCACAAGTAATGAGAGCTGGCTGCTAGGGGCCCTTTCAGTAATGATTTCTGCAGGAAGTCTTGTTAAGCAAAAATGTAAGAAAAAACAACCTCACCCACCAGAACTCCATGTTGTGAATATTTGTACAGCAAAATTCCAGCAAGGATTGCATTCTGCCACTTCAGCTCCACAGAGCAACACTTGGCTCCAGATGAACAGCTCATTTTAGATGGAGGGATTTAGTTCAGGCAGCGAAGGATTACTCACCATGAGTTAGAATGGCAGAATTTGGCCAGAGAAGCCAGGGCAGCCTTTGCAATACCAACACATCATTTTAAAACAGCTGGGAAATGGGTATCTAGGAAAAAAAAATAAATAAAGGTTATGAAGGAGGATCAAATGCTGTCTTAATTGAAGCAGGAATTCAGTTTTTAATTCATCTAATTGTGTTAAACTGCTAATAGGCTAATTTGAAGAGCTCAGTGCATTCAAGAAGCTGGTATTTAATTAACAAAATCACGTTTCACACAATGCCAGACAAGGGGTCAATCCTTGAATGAGGAGCTCCCTTGAGAGGAAAAGGCACAATTAATGCTGTAGAAACTTCTCATTCATTCTTCTGCTGCTAAATATCACTGATTGGGAAGAACCCCATTGCTTCTTAGCTAATTTTTTTTAGCATAGATTCCCCTCCTTTCCTCGTCTCTGTATCTGACCTCTGCATCCTCTCCTCTAGTGGATTTTGACCTCTATCTGGCCTTATGCATTTGTGATTATATTTATTATAAAGAGAATATTATCCATGCAGACTTCTGCCACGGAAACAGGAGTTTCAATGATACCATTTTAGTGTCCACCTAGAATTTCCAACTCTGTGCCAGGAAAATGGCTTCTCCTGGCTTAAAAGGATTTTACACACCCCTAAAATTACTGGGCAGACTTCAAGGGATTCCTTAAAAATGTTTCAAGCTTCAATGACAGCCTCCATTCCTTAGCTTCAGGATAAATCCTTCTAAGTGTTCATTACCTCAATTCAATTTTATTTGGAGGCATTTCTGGGCATGAAT